ACTTCATGTAAAGGAGATTGTGAGGGATAATAATATAAATATGTTGGACTTGTGGTAAAATTAAGTGAAATGTAAATGAATAGTTGCTGAATCACTGCTTTTTAAAATAACCTTTAAGGTTTGTTGTGACCTTTGACTCCAGCCTGTCCAGCCATGAAAATTGCAGCACCTCAGTAATTGAGATATTGTTCCGCCTTGGAACTAACCAGTAAACAAACAAATGGTTTTCACCCATTTGTTTGTTTACTGGTTAGTTCTAATGTTGGTTTGTAAACTACTGGACAGATTTCCACAAAACTTGGTGGAAGGAACTTTCTGTAACTTTTCTTTTAATGGTTAAGCAGATTCCATGATGCTTCTCATGTGTGGAGTCTGTTTCCTGGGCCCACACTAAAACAGTCTCATCTCTGGGTGTGAGTTTTTTAAGTGATCAGGATTTACTGTACACAGATCATTTTTCTTTTGATACACAGATAATGAGGTATGCTGAGCAGAGAATGCCGACGCTTAATGAATACTGTGTGGTGTGTGATGAGCGGCATGTGTTTCAGAACGGCCCCATGTTAAAGGTACGCTGCTGCAACAGTCAACTAATGAAATAAAGCAGAACTTTAAAATACAGGTGAGCCTTTGTCACTATTCTGCTTTGTGTGTTTGCAGCCTGCAGTTTGCACAAGGGAGCTGTGTGTGTTTTCCTTCTACACACTGGGGGTCATGTCTGGAGCTACGGAGGCGGTTGCAACCGGTGCAGAGGTTGGTAACAAACACACAGACACTTTAAACACAAAGCATGAGTGATCACAGTAAGATTTATGTGTGAAAAAGAATCCCTGATCTTGCAGGTTATTGACCTGCTGGTCGCTATGTGTAGAGCTGCTCTTCAGTCTTCACGCAAGAGCATCATATTTGAGCCGTACCCCTCTGTCGTTGATCCATACAACCCCAAAGCCCTGGCCTTTACTCCTAAGGTATGAGCTCAATCAATCAATCTCTAACTTTTTACTTGATTGATTACTGAGTATGTCAGGTTTTAAATTCTGAAAGATTCTTGTCATTTGTTGTGGCAGAGAAAGAGCTTTGACCGGCTGCAAAAAGCCCTGGACAGTGTTTTATTAGTCAGGAGGATGGCACAGGTGACTGATCTGAAAATCAATCTTACATCAGTCACACACTTATCTTCTTCAGAGAATAACTTGAAAGTTGTTGAAAGTCTTCCTGACGTCGATTTCATTTCCAGGGTCCATATACTGAAATTAGGAAGCAGATGGACAAGTTAGATCCTCTCGCTTATCCCCTGCTCCAATGGTGAGTGCTACAAACTAAAGTGTCTCTCTCCTGTAGTTGTTCTATTTAACTTGTGATCATGTCAGTGTTTCTCAGATTCATATTCACATTCGTGTTTGTCACCAGGATTCTAGCGAGCAACAGGTCCCACATTGTCAAGCTTCCACTGAACAAGGTACGACAGAGCCGTTCACGTAACGTCTTATCACAGTAGCTGCACGTTTTAAAGCAGAAGTTAATATTTTACCTTCAAAATATTTAGATCATGTTCTGTCTTTCACAAACTGATGTTTTTTATCTGTTGCTGCACAATATAGCAACTGAAGTTCATGCACACGCCCCATCAGTTCCTGTTGATCAGCAACCCTCCATCCAAAGAGGCTCGATTCCAAACCGCCAGAAAACTTTACGGCAGCACCTTCGCTTTCCAGTGAGTACAATGAAACCTGTAATACTACAAAAATAACAATTATAATAATATCTACACAGATTATATGATGCTTCATGTGCTCAGCCCTGATTCTTTCATCTTTCAGTGGTTCCCACATTGAAAACTGGCACTCTATTCTAAGAAACGGGCTGGTTAATGCCTCATACACCAAACTACAGGTAGAGTATGAAAACACCAAGGTCTAAACATTTCACAGTGGAAATTCCAACCCACAAGACTTTTATATATTCATTTGGACCTTTAAAAGTTATAGTTGACATATTTATTTTCTCTATTTAAGCTTCACGGAGCTGCATATGGGAAAGGCATCTATTTAAGTCCTATGTCAAGTGTATCTTTTGAATATTCAGGTAAGAATGCACATTTTACTAATAATAATAATAAATGGGATTAGTTAGTATAAATAAAAGCCCATTTCAATCATCTGTAGAATGGTTTGCATATAACACTAATATAATATCTATAAATAATATATAATCATTCTGTATGTTATTGCTTTTCAGTTTTTGAAACATATTCTTTGTGTTTGTTCAGAGATGGGTAAAGGTCGACACCAAATAACTGCCAAAGAAGATCTCCTAAAGAAATACAATCGAATGAACAAAGTCAAACAGGTAGAGTTGATTATGGTTCACATTTGTTCAGGCTGAGCTCATATGCTCCTCGTACATCTTCTTTTGTCGAAATCTAATCTTGTTCTCCGTTTTGTTTTAGGAAGAGCAAGCACGGTTTCTGCAGAGCAGGAACCTAAACTGCATTGCACTCTGTGAAGGTAAATACGGGAACATGTAGTGTAACAAAGAGCTTTGATTTGTTAACATTTGTGTGGGACATTGTTTTATAAAAGGTGTCTCTTTGTCTCTAACAGTCATAACTTCAAAAGACCTTCAAAAACATGGGAACATTTGGGTGTGTCCGATATCTGACAACGTGTGCACACGCTTCCTCTTTGTGTGAGTGAAATATAAAGCAGCAGAGAAGTAATCATCCGTCTATCTACAGATTATCTTTAGTCCATGTTTCTCTTCTTTCTCAGGTATGAAAATGGTCAGGTGGGAGATGTCCACATCAACACTCAGGAAGCCAAGATCCACAGAGAAATCGTACAAGTAATTGCTTCAAAGCTGTGCTGAGAAAACAAACATGCACATTTCTTTATGATGTAGATTTCATAAAAAACATGGACTAAGAGTAAATCTAAACATTTACACATTAGTTTTGACAGATTTGACAAGTGATAAGAGATGTCTTTTTTATTTCATCATGTATGATTGTGTTTGATGGAAGAGATGGAAGTGTTGAGTTGTTGAATCGAGGACCTGTAAAACCTTTATTTGCCTTGTATCTGATATAATTTAAATGTATCTACTGCCAGTCTTATAAAAACATTTTTATTTGAATTTCTTTTTTTAAATAAAGTTCTACAATATTTGTTTGCAACAGATCAAATGTTTTCATCTTACTTGTTAACGCACTTTGCCCTAAAACGCAAAGGCCCATTTTTTTTTACGTTATTTGTGTAATACATGTGTTGCACCACAAGATGGAAGTGTAACCGATAACAAGTCTCTATATGAGATCATCATTGTCACCACAGAGCTAATAAAACCATAGACTGTATGAATAAAACTCATCACTGTGCTGCCATGACGCTCATGATTCAGCCTGTGGAGACTGTTACAGCTGGATAACACTGTGACCTCACTGAAAACGTGGGTGTTGAGCTTGTGTCTAATCCTTATTTCAGTCAGAATAAAAGAAGATGCCCCACACAAAAATATATGTCATGTACTTTACACTAAAAACCCTAATGCAGTAAAAATATTAGAGTTACATGCAATGACTCCAGTGATTTCAAACCAAATATCCCAATTTCTTGTCATGATGATTATACTATGATTCACTGTTGCACATTTAATTGACACTTGCTCAGTGGATTGTTCTCCTGGGTGCCAGCTGCCATTTGCTCTGAGTGATATAGACAGTATGAGGAATGTCATTGTTCGAGTCAGTGAATAACAAGAGGTGCACACCATCCTTTGAGGCAGAAATGCACCATTATAACAGTGTACTGGTTCCATATGAGCCCCACAGCTGCCTCCCCACCAATGAAAACACATCTGTTTGCATCTGGATAGAGATCTTCTCTTACAAGTGCTGGCTTTGTTATAATTTCATTTATAAATTTGGCTTAAAGGGATTGTTCACCTCAAAATGAAAATCCGCTCTTTACTCACCACTATGCCGGTGGAGGGGTGGGTGAAGTGTTTGAGTCCACGAAACACTTCTGGAGACTCAGGGGTAAACAGGTTCGCTGCCAAATCCAATACAATTGAAGTAAATGGTGACTGATTCTTCAAATGTAAAAAAACAACATAAAAAAGATAAAATGCCTCCATACTGCTCCTGTGGTGTCATCCAAGTGTCCAGAGACCCCAAACTCTAAACAACAACATTTACACCATGTTTTTAGCCTAAATGTCCACTGTGATCCATGCAGGGACACATACAGAGGAACATATCAGAGGACATTTTTCTGTGATCCATGCAGGGACACATACAGAGGAACATATCAGAGGA